AAAAAAAAAAACAGTCTAGCAATACACACCAAACTGAGCATGTGCAGAGTGACTCCACACAATATGTCTTATCAGGATATAAGAGGGGACATTGGAAGACGGGGAGGATCAGGATCAAACAGCCTTTTTACACAATGCAGAGGATTACCCCTTAGGTTCCTCAGTGAGTATAACAAGCTTGCCTTACTGCATATACAGACTGATTTTACCATTGTGGGTTTATTAACACTTTACGTTTTATAAATGCAAGCAGTGTAAGTACCTGAATTTGACATGGTATCAGACTCTTATATTACACTGCACAGAAGAGTCAGGGGAAGGGAGAAGCGGTACAAGGAGCAAATGAGTTGTGTTACAGTACAGCGAGCATGCTGATAGGAATAGAGAGCAGAGTGACATACAGTTGTGTCCAAAATTATTCAACCCCCAATGCTGTAAAGGGGTTTAGGGACTATAGTGTACATTTGGAATTGTATTCAGAATCAAATCCTACAAGGACGTTGTAACTACCCAAATGCAACTAAAATGACATCAATTGTTTATGTAATACAGTAGTAAATGGTTCTTATGTGGTTTCTTCATTGCCACAATTATTCAACCCCTTAAAGACTACCACTCTGAAGAACAGAGGTTCATACAGGTGCTTTCCATCAGGTATTGAAAACACCTGTGGATGTCACCGAGCAGCAATCAAGCATAATAAGCACCAATTAGGCAGCTTTAAAATGACTGTGATACTCAGCTCCTTCTAGACATTTACTGGTGTGGTTACAAACATGGTGAAGGCAAGAGAATGGTCCAGGAAGACAAGAGAAGAGGTGATTTCTCTTCACAGGAAGGGCAATGGCTATAAGAAGATTGCAAAGATGTTAAACATACCAAGAGACACCTTAGGAAGCATCATTCGCAAATTCAAGGCAAAGGGCACTGTTGAAACGCTACCTGGTCGTGGCAGAAAGAAGATGCTGACTTCGACTGCTGTGCGCTACCTGAAGCGTAGAGTGGAGAGAAGTCCCCGTGTGACTGCTGAGGAACTGAGAAAAGATTTGTCAGATGTGGGTACAGAAGTTTCAGCCCAGACAATAAGACGCACACTGCGTAATGAAGGCCTCCGTGCCAGAACTCCCAGGCGTACCCCCTTGCTGTCTCCAAAGAATAAGAAGAGTCGACTGCAGTATGCCAAAAGCCATGTGGACAAACCACAAAAGTTGTGGGATAGTGTTCTGTGGACTGATGAAACAAAATTAGAACTGTTTGGGCCCATGGATCAACGCTATGTTTGGAGGAGGAAGAACAAGGCCTATGATGAAAAGAACACCTTGCCTACTGTGAAGCATGGTGGAGGGTCAATCATGCTTTGGGGCTGTTTTGCTTCTGCAGGTACAGGGAAGCTTCAGCGTGTGCAAGGTACCATGAATTCTCTTCAGTACCAGGAGATATTGGATGGAAACGTGATGCAGTCCGTCACACACCTGAGGCTTGGGAGACGTTGGACCTTTCAACAGGACAATGATCCCAAGCATACCTCCAAGTCCACTAGAGCATGGTTGCAGAGGAAAGGCTGGAACATTTTGGAGTGGCCATCGCAGTCACCAGACTTAAATCCGATTGAGAACCTCTGGTGGGACTTAAAGAAAGCAGTTGCAGTGCGCAAGCCTAAGAATGTGACTGAACTGGAGGCCTTTGCCCATGAAGAATGGGCGAAGATACCCGTAGATCGCTGCAAGACACTTGTGTCAAGCTATGCTTCACGTTTAAAAGCTGTTATAACTGTAAAAGGATGCTGTACTAAGTACTAAGATTGAATGTCACTTGGGGGTTGAATAAAACTGATAATGCTGTGAGCACAGAAAAGACATTTGTGGTTATTTCATTATAACTGTTATGTTATATTTGTCTGACCTACAAGTGCCTCTTTAATGTAAATGTAAGCAAGATGACTGAATGATCAAAAGCAATGTCAAACTGGCCAAAACACTCAATTTCAGTGGGGGTTGAATAATTTTGGACACAACTGTAGACGCCAATGTAAAGTGGTTCTTCTCCTACTGTCCACTATTGTCTAGGGGCATTTCTATCTACTGTCCACCATTGTAAGGGGACATTTCTCCATTGACAACCAACATAAGAGACCATTTTTCCACTGACCACAAAAATAAAGGGGCATTTTTCCACTGACCACAAAAATAAAGGGGCATTTCTCCACTGGCCACTAAAATAAGTGGGTATTTCTCCACTGACCACCAATGCCAAGGAGCATTTCTCTACTGTCCATTTTTTGCCTAGTGTAAAATGCCCAGAGCTTTGCCACTTCCTAGTAGCTCATGTTAAATACGATTGAATGGCTGTACTCTTGTAAAACCATACATGCGTGTCCGATGGTTTTTGAAGTCGAACGTTTTAAGTTCAGGAATAATGTCAGATGCACAAGTGTGGGAAGATGCTAATGTAAAAATGTTATCAAAGCACCCCTTATTTCAAATGTTTGGGGACCCCTGGTCTAGGGGAACAGAAAAAGCTACTATACTTATTTTATTCCTCCCTTCGCTGGCAGACAGCAATCTTCTGCTCTTTCTGACATTCTAGGGTGTGGGCAGGCCCTTCAGCATTCTCACTTACAATACTGGTCCTGCATTGTATGTGATGACATCACAGTGCCTGTGACCAACAGCAGCAAAGAGTAACAGCGAAGAGGAGTGGCATTAGAGGACCGGTTGTGCAGCTGGGAGGAAGCCGACAGGAGTGAGGAATAATATTAGTATAGCTGCTTTTTTTATGCTCTTCCTATAAAAACAAGCAATAAAAGTGATTGTGAAGGCATATTTTTTTTTAAATAACAAACATGTCATACTTACAGTACCTGCTCTTTGAGTGGCTTTGCACAGAACAGCTTTGATCTTTCTCCACCAACACTACTGGCCCCTCCCTCCTGCCAAGTGCCCCCACAGGAAGCAGCTTGCTATGGGGGCACCCGGGCACATATGCCTTCGAGCTGCTGCTCTGTGTGTCCATTCACACACAGCCGCTGCTCAGCCCTGTTCCCCGCTCTCTCCTCATTGGCTCACTGGTTGTGTTTGGCCAATGGCTCCCTTTGCTGTCTTAGGAGGGAGAGACCCAGACAGCCGAGGCTCTCGTGCACATCACCGGATCGAGATGGGGCTCAGGTAGGTATTGGGGGGGCTGGGGGCTGCTGCTGCATACAGAAGGTCTTTTACCTTCCTGCATAGAATGCAGGAAGGTACAAAACCTTGAAACTTTACAACCTTTTCAATAGAGCAGCAGCCCCACTGTAAGAGACATTTTGTTAAGATTTAAGTTCATGTAGAAGAATACAATACAAACTTGAGGTTTATGTGTACATATGTAGAACAAGTTAATATGAAAATATATGCATCAAAAATCCATATATAATAATAAATCATTGTAGAAATAGACAGGCTGACACTGTCCACAAGTAAACGTACTTAGAGTAATTACCAGTGGTTAGGGATGGATGTGCTCCCATGGACACAGACACATCACATCGGGGGAGCACATCCCTCCCGAATCGCAGGTGTCACTCTTTGTGCGATTAGATGTGAGCAGCTGTGGACAGTGTCTGCCTGTCATTGATTTGTACTTTCGTCCTGCCTGTGGCTGATCAGAAACAACTTGTGGTTCCTGCTGCAGAAATCAGCTGATCTGGGCAGTGGACATCCCTAATCTGCCATGTGCATGAGCCTTTAGAAGAGCAGCATCCCACATCTTTCTTCTACACCAGTGGTCTCCAAACTGTGGCCCGGGGGCCAGATGTGGCCCTTTTCTTGTAGTTATCAGGCCCTTGGGGCACTAATCCACCCACAGATACAAGGCACTATTTCTTACAGTGACACCAACAATGGGGTATAATTACTGTTGCTGATACCAACAATAGGGCACTATTCGTACCAATAACACCAATGATGGGGCACTATTCCTACAACTGACACCAGTGATGGGGCACTATTCCTACCACTGACACCAATGTTATGGAATTTTTTTTCCCACTGATACCAATGATGAGGCACTATTCCTACCACTGATACCAATATTATGGAACTATTTTTCCCACTGATTCCAATGATGGGGCACTCTTCCTACCACTGATACCAATGTTATTGAACTATTCCTCTCACTGGGACACTCTTCCTACCACCAATGGTATGGAACTATTCTTCCCACTGACACCAATGATGGGGCACTATTCCTTTCCCTGATACCAACAATGGGGCACTAATCCTTTCCCTGATCCCAATGATGGGGAACTATTTTTCCCCTACTACCAACAATTGATCACTATTCCTCCAATCAATACCAATGATGAGGCATTGTTTATTCCCATTGATGTCGGATCATTTTCTACTCACACTGGCCACAGTCCGGCCGCTTCAAAGTCCGAAGGACAGTAAACCGACCCTTTGTTCAGAAAGTTTGGAGACCCCATGTTCTACTGGTTAGTTTTTGTCTGCTTTAAGGTGTCCTAAAATATTAGTGGTAAAAGCAGATATATAGATAGAACCACCTACAGGCCTTCAGGATATATAGCAGATTCCAAGAGAATCCTAAAAAAATGGATAAAAATGCTACTTCTTACCATCTCTGACCTGGAGAAAGACAAGTTCTGTTTCAAATTATATTCTGACATCATACCTGTCAATAGCTTTCAAAGGGAATTAGCAAAATCCAAGCTGATCTGTCTTAATATTTAACAGCAAGGGACGCAGAGCAATCTGCAATCATACGCAATGTATTAAGGTTACATTAGCTATGAGATTGTACAGATTGCACGATGGTTGTCAGTCTTCTCAGTTGGAATGCTCCCAAGGTGCACTGCGGTATGGGAGAACCGCCAAGGACCATAAGGCTGCCAGCAAAGCTCTATTTATTAATCATATTTAAAAGAGACAAAAATGTAATGACTGCAATGAACTGGGCGATTGTCTGACCATCTCTCCCCCTCTGTTTTCATAGGCCCGTTCCTAATGCTCCCACCCCTGATGGAATGGATACGAGTAGCTGTGGCTCATGCCGGATATCGCCGAAGTTTTTCTGTGGATAGCGATGATGTACGACAGGCCGCACGTCTCCTGCTTCCAGGAGTGGACTGTGAGCCACGGCAGCTAAAGTATGTACTTTAATTTGCAGATAATGCTACAGGTTTAAAAGTGAACTCCAGGCAGATATAAAAGATGCAAGTTAATGCAGCTCTGTAGTCAATGGCACTTCCTCAAATTTACAAGCAGATCATCAGCTTTTGCAGTCACTGTACAGCAGAGCTTAGAGTAGTGAGAGAAAGAAGCAGCAGGAGTAACTAGTTAGGTGTGTTGCAATTCAAGGAGCATGCTGATTGGAGGAAAGAGCAGACTGACAGACAGAAAAGCTGATCAGTATGCTGCTTCTCATCCTATTTTCTAATTCACAGGGTGGGGGGTGGGAAGGATACCTGTTAGTGAAAGTGAAACTGCAACAGAGGAAGATAAGCATGTCAGTGCTATGGAATGGTGGAATGCTGTTTATTGTGTAAAAATGCAGATTATGTTGCACATTTTTTTATCTCACATCATCAAAAAACATGAGACTAAACTAATAATATATTATATTATTTAGAGATATGGACGCTACTAGAAATTCTAATTCTAAGTTATTACTTTGGAAACTGTACATTTTCATAAACATTATCGTTAATGCTGAAAGACTTTAGTCTGCTAAAAACTGGGAATGGATTTTCACCGTAATTCATGTCTCATTGTCTATTTTCTACAGGGCTGACGACTGTTTTTGTGCATCTCGCAAACTTGACGCAGTGGCCACAGAAGCTAAGTTTAAACAAGACCTTGGATTTAGAATGTTGAACTGTGGCAGGACGGATTTAGTCAAGCAAGCTGTGACTCTCCTCGGTCCTGAGGGAATAAATAGCATGAGTGAGCAAGTAAGTATGCCATCTAATGCAAGTGATATGACATCTCCAATATAAAAGTGTTTTTTTTTCCTTTAGCTATAATGGAATATTTATAAAGGTGGAGGTTAACAATTTGATTGCTCATTTTCACTGAAGGGCTGTTGCGTCACTTACATTTTTCACATACACGTGAGCATTGTTAAGTCACCCATCTGGATTGATAGATCTAGGTCTTAGTAACATTGCAATCACCACCCATGCGTTAGCAGTATTGAGTCTCATTTGCCACCCATCTGGAATGGGAAATCTAGCTCTTAGTAACATTAGCTGTATTTATGATAGGGATAAAGTATATTTTGCCATAGGTAATCCACATGTTTATGTTCCACATAGGGAATGACCCCACTGATGTACGCTTGCGTGAGAGGTGATGAAGCGATGGTGCAGATGTTACTAGACGCTGGGGCGGAGCTCAATGTCGAGGTAAGAAAATGTAACCAGCAATCATTAAGGGATCATCTTACTTTGAAATTCAACAGACCTTTAATTAGTATGGATTTTCAGAGCTAAATTGCTTTCTTTTTCTTTGTGGACACTAAAAGGACATTTTTATGAGCTAAAAATTACTAAAGTTTAGCTGCACTTCTACTGTGGATCACAGGAATGCAGTTCGTTCTGCACTCTTATGAACTGTTTTCAGCTGACAGTGGGCTAAAGTCCACTGTCGGCTGACATCACAGTGCCGGTCCAGGCTCTGGACCAGCATGTGGCTCAGCCTCTCAGGGATCTACTGAGAGCCTGAGCAGCCAATCCTGCCCCCTCCAAAGCCCAGCACTCCAGTGATCGCTGGGGTTGGCAGAGCAGAGAGCAATGACTGACAGTCACCGCTCTCTGCTCAGAGTGGCTGGGAGAACTGAGCAACCAGCAGTGTTTGATCACACAGTCTCACTCTTAGAGCCAGGGGGACAAATGCAGCATTGGAGCGATACTGCATCCACCTAGGTAAGTATGTTTTTAAAAAAAATATTCCTAGACTTCTCTTTTAATGAGAATGTAGCCTATATGTTCCAGGAAACTGTGCAATGAAATGTGTTGTGAAGGCATGTTACATATCATGCCTTGTAGATGTTAATTTGAAAAATTCACTTCAAACACTATTATTTACATTGCCCACCAAGCATTCTAAAGTTGTTTGATTATTGTAATGTGGAGGATCTTGGCACATGCCGATGGTGGAGGTGCAGAGTATAAGGAGCAGAATATCTTTTACTGTATTCATATTATCATACTTGTGACTGTGAAGTCTTGGTAAGAGTCGTTTATATGATTGTTTTTGTAAACTCAATAAAGCTTTTCATTTGACAAAAAATAGCATTCTAAAGTAAATGATATACAGTCAGGTCCATAAATATTGGGACATCGACACAATTCTAACATTTTTGGCTCTATACACCACCACAATGGATTTGAAATGAAACGAACAAGATGTGTTTTAACTGCAGACTTTAGTCAGCTTTAATTTGAGGGTATTTACATCCAAATCATGTAAAACGTGTAGGAATTACAACAGGTTGCATATGTGCCTCCCACTTGTTAAGGGACCAAAGTAATGGGACAGAATAATAATCAAATCAAACTTTCACTTTTTAATACTTGGTTGCAAATCCTTTGCAGTCAATTACAGCCTGAAGTCTGGAACGCATAGACATCACCAGACGCCGGTTTCATCCCTGGTGATGCTCTGCCAGGCCTCTACTGCAACTGTCTTCAGTTCCTGCTTGTTCATGGGGCATTTTCCCTTCAGTTTTGTCTTCACAAAGTGAAATGCATGCTCAATTGGATTCAGGTCAGGTGATTGACTTGGCCATTGCATAACATTCCACTTCTCTCCCATTAAAAAACTATTTGGCTGCTTTTGCAGTATGCTTTGGGTCATTGTCCATCTGCACTGTGAAGCGGCATCCAATGAGTTCTGAAGCATTTGGCTGAATATGAGCAGATAATATTGCCTGAAACACTTCAGAATTCATCCTGCTGCTTTTGTCAGCAGTCACATCATCAATAAATACAAGAGAAGCAGTTCCATTGGCAGCCATACATGCCCACGCCATGACACTACCACCACCATGCTTCACTGATGAGGGTGGTATGCTTAGGATCATGAGCAGTTCCTTTCCTTCTCCATACTCTTCTCTTCCCATCACTCTGGTACAAGTTGATCTTGGTCTCATCTGTCCATATGATGTTGTTCCAGAACTGTGAAGGCTTTTTTAGATGTCGTTTGGCAAACTCTAATCTGACCCCTGGGGGCCAACAGGCTTGCAGGATCACCCTGGATCCTTAATAGATCATGGTCAGCAGCTTCCTTCCTTCCCTGGATCTCCTTAGGGGGCTCCTTTTCCCCTATTCAGCCAGGGCGGTCCTGAAGAGTAATAGCTCACAATCCAGTGAGCCACAAAAAAAAGCCTCTAAGTGCAGTATTCAATTAACTCAGTTTTATTTTAAAAGAGTAAAAAAGGTTTCACACTCACATTACAGACAATCTCCCAGATTGGGTGTACTGCATGTGGCTGGGACCTTATTGGGTGTAGCAAAATGGCGTCTCCCGCCGGAAATTGCGTCACCACACACACCGAACTACGAACTCGCGTACCTACGCGTTACGTCACCGTCTACTCGTGACTTCATCTGGGTCGAAGTCACGAGTAGACGGTGACGTAACGCGTAGGTACGCGAGTTCGTAGTTCCGGTGCGTGTGTGACGCATTTCCGGCGGGAGACGCCATTTTGCTACACCCAAGAGGTCCCAGCCACATGCAGTACACCCCACACATCAGTGAGGAGAGGGAGATTGTCTGTAATGTGAGTGAAACCTTTTTTACTTTTTAAAATAAAACTGAGTAATTGAATACTGCACTTAGAGGCTTTTTTTGTGGTCATTGTGAGCTATTACTCTTCAGGACCGCCCTGGCTGAATAGGGGAAATAGGAGCCCCTCTAAGGAGATCCAGGAAGGAAGGAAGCTGCTGACCATGATCTATTAAGGATCCAGGGTGATCCTGCAAGCCTGTTGGCCCCCAGGGGTCAGTAGGAGGAGGTGAGGAGGCAATTTAGCTGCTCACGAGGAGGAGTTTGGCACAGTCACGTGTTGCATTTAATATCACTATTGCACGTCGCATGATTTATTGTCATTTTTTCACTAAAAGGACATTGGTCTGGATACGTTTATTTATTAAAAAATAATTAAAAAAAAAAAATTTTTTTGATGCACTATGTGAGCACTGCTAAGATTTATGCCATTTTTTCACTATAAGGATATTGCTTTGGATACATTTATTCATGTTCATTTTTTTGTGGCACTATGTGAGCACTGCTAAGATTTATGTCATTTTTTCACTATAAGGACATTGCTTTGGATGCATTTATTCATGTTCATTTTTTTTTGTGGCACTATGTGAGCACTGCTAAGTTTTCTTATATTGGATGGTTTCTTTTGGAGTGTGATTTATTATTATCAATTGTGTACACACCATTTATTTTTATGGTTTGACACCTTGTCTTTATTTCTATTATGGTTTGGCACTCATTTTTTCTATGTTTTTTGGCACTATTATTTTATTCATATTTATTTTATTTTATTGATTTATTATTATTTAATTCTTAGAGCGCTGCACTGTTTTATGATTTATTGACACTGTGGATTGGTATCAGTTTAGAGTGCTGGCAGCTAGTCAATAGGTTTTATACTTTCACTCTCATAGCGCAGGAGGACCTTGAATTATTTTCAAACTCTAATCTGGCCTTTCTGTTTTTGAGGCTCACCAATGGTTTACATCTTGTGGTGAACCCTCTGTATTCACTCTGGTGAAGTCTTCTCTTGATTGTTGACTTTGACACACATACACCTACCTCCTGGAGAGTGTTCTTGATCTGGCCAACTGTTGTGAAGGGTGTTTTCTTCACCAGGGAAAGAATTCTGCGGTCATCCAGCACAGTTGTTTTCCGTTGTCTTTCGGGTCTTTTGGTGTTGCTGAGCTCACCGGTGCATTCCTTCTTTTTAAGAATGTTCCAAACAGTTGTTTTGGCCACGCCTAAAAAAAATAATGTTTTTGCTATCTCTCTTATGGGTTTGTTTGTTTTTTTTCAGCCTAATGATGGCTTGCTTCACTGATATTGACAGTTCTTTGGATCTCATCTTGAGAGTTGACAGCAACAGATTCCAAATGCAAATAGCACACTTGAAATGAACTCTGGACCTTTTATCTGCTCATTGTAATTGGGATAATGAGGGAATAACACACACCTGGCCATGGAACAGCTGAGAAGCCAATTGTCCCATTACTTTTGGTCCTTTAACAAGTGGGAGGCACATATGCAAACTGTTGTAATTCCTACACCGTTCACCTGATTTGAATGTATATACCCTCAAATTAAAGCTGACAGTCTGCAGTTAAAGGACATCTTGTTTGTTTCCTTTCAAATCCATTGTGGTGGTGTATAGAGCCACAAATGTTAGAATTGTGTCGATGTCCCAATATTTATGGACCTGACTGTATGTAAAAAAATACCTGTGTTAGCTTCCCATGTAAAAATTCTGATTCCATGCACTAAAAGTGAAATCAAACGATACCCCTATTTTTCAAAAATAGTCCATACAAATCCACTACTTAATGGGCCTGTCATTTATTTTTTATTAAAGTGGTTGCAGACCTCTAAAATGAACAAAACATATCCTTATATAGTGTATACTTGCTGATTCAGTCTAGAGCAGTGTTTTCTCAAGCTTTTTCAGTCAAGGCACCCTTTAAAATGATGGACAGTCCCAAGGTACCCTTTAAAATGATGGACAGTCTTGAGGCACCCCTTTCTAAAATGTGAAAAACTATTCTAATAGTTTTATATAACGCATTCACACATGTAGGGCACCCAACGTTAGAGGTGATTTACTCCTTCAAAGCCAATACACTTTTGCACACTGGTACTGATTAGTATTCCAATGTTTCTCTTCTCCCTCACTGAGCTAATGTGACCCCAGCACTGATGGAGAGGGGCAGGGGAGGGTCAAACTAGGATGCTGTGCAGGCAGCTGACATCCTTATCAACTGATGATGTCATTGGTTGTCAGGACGCCAGTGGCTAGAAGGTCGTTATGGTGCACAATGAAAACCTGTGGCTTTGTGTAACTAGAAAGCCGACTTGTTCCACCCGCTGGCTTGTATACATGTTTTGGGCAATTTTTAGACATTTTGCCAAGGCAGCCCCTGGAGAAACCTCAAGGCACCCTGGTTGAGAAAGGCTGGTCTAGAGCACTTAAGCCTTGTACACACTGTAACGACCTGAACTATAGAAAAAAAAAACTGACAGATCGCTGTGCTAACAGAAGCGGTGTTAGTACAGCAATGTCCCCCGCTGTACTATTGTGTTCTGACAGGGGAACTGCCCCCTTGCCAGAACACACCAATCAGCAGACTTTTTTTCTGTCATGGCCCTTCGACAGTCTGGCCTCTGTGGGACCGGCTGCTAAACACACGGGCCAAATGTCAGACAGTTTGTGTTGAACTGGCTGGTGCCACCCGATATTTGGCTCGTGTGTACTCAGCTTTAGTGTGGTTCACGCCTGCTCTCCCCTTCCTCTGTTATCTGCATGAGTCAGTTCTGTTTTCCCTAATACCCGGTAATCCTTGGAGACGTTCCCCCACTTAGTACACAGCAAGTAATTGACAGCCTCATGTGTGCATGTTTCCCAGTGAGGCTGTGTAGAGTGGGGTTTGTTCTTTTCCTCCACTCAGGTTTCAGCTTACACTCAGCTCTATGCTGTGCACTGTGTGACTTCAGATCCCACGCCCTTGCCTTCTGCAAGCCCAGAATAGCCATCTGATCAGTGTACTTTAAAGAGCTTTGGAGGAGAAGGAGCTGCAGATAAAAATATATAGTTTATGTAGGAGGATTTAATTTATCATTGTTTTTCATCTGAGACCGAACCACTTGAATGGGATTATGTAAGGGTTTATTATCACTTTAAATGATTTCTTACTATGCTTTTCTGCCTCTTTGTAATGTCCCCTGTGAGCTCCCAAACCTCTCCATTTGTTTTGAATGGGCAGTGCATGTCAGTTGTGGTCACGTGTACTACTCTATGCGCACTACAAATCCCATAGTCAGGAGCGTGTAAAAGAAAGTGGTCACGTTCCTACATACAGTGTACAGGAGGCCGGATCATAGCAGCCCATAAAAAGGAATTTGGAGATTTGGAGGAGGCTGAGGGCAATAGAAGGTATTTTTCAGTTAGTAATACATACTTGAATAGAATTTTCTTTCTGTAAATCAATGTTTAACAATGTGTTAGTGTTCAGAATACCAAACTGAGGGGACACCTAGACATGTCTCTTTGCTGCTGCAGTTGAGTCTGTCCCTCCTCACCAGCCCTCTCCTCTGACCTAAGCCTTATTCAGTAAGTGATAGCTGGTAAAGGCGAAAGAAGAGCTAAAATGTAAAACAACTTTAAAATGTGGCCTTGCATACATTTTCTAAATCACAATGTTAATGCTTTTGTGATGGTTTTCTGTGCTGCTGCATGACCACAAAGCTCCAGCTCTATCTCCTTTCTTTTCAGCTGATGGGCATGAACACTCTCTCCCACTGACAACCCCTAGAGATATGGGTGCTGGCAAGTGACATCACTGCTCTATGCGATTTAGCCCTGTTGTTGGCCATTAACATTTACACAGATAAACTAGAGCTTTGCGGGCATGTGACCACATGAAAAATGTTTACAAAATGGCAATGAGGATGCAACGTTAAAGGCCCTTTCACACCTAACGCAGTGGGATGCATTTTGGACTGCACTCCAACTGCATAGACAGTCCAAAATCCAGGCTATCTTATGGGATTAGTTCACACCAGTGCAGGAAAATACAGCATGCTGCATTTTTTCGCACCTCAAACGGGCAAAAATGCATGCAAACGCACTGCAACGCATCACAGTGCACATAAAAACCCAAGGAAAGAAAGAAGAAGCAAGTGACCTTGCAGGTGAAATGCAGATAGAAAAGCACACATCAACTGTAAACACGCATCAACTAGATGTAAAATGTGCGTCAACTGCATGTAAAATGTGCCTCAACTGCATGTAAAACACACATCAAATGCATGCATAGGTACAAGGAAAAAAATGCATAGTTACATGCAGTTTCTAGTGAGAATGGGCCCTTAAGTTGGTTTATTGCTTAGCCTTTCCTTTAAGCAAAGTGACCCACAGCAACTAGTCAGAATCCATCTTGTACTGGTGAGATTTAAGCAAAGTGTTTTGTAATTGATTGTTTTTGGTTGCCACACCTAATAAGAACTCTTTATTTGGTAAGGCTGTACATGTTGGAAGTCTTGTGTGACTTCAGTGGCTCTGAGAGCAGCATGAAAAAAAAGAAATAAGCTCCCTCTGTGCAGTGTGAGTAAAATGGGACTGCTCCAGAATACATCCTACACAGGAAAAGCAGGATATCTGTGGCTCAGACAGTGGCTATTGAATTGCTGGTTTTTATTTTTCTTTAGGTAGTAAATTGTTTACAGATAATATTTAATTGAGATCATAAAACAACAGCCTCAGTTCACAAACCTTTACATAAGGATAATAATCTTTACTTTTAGCAATGTGAGTGTGATTTTCAGATTGCATTGGACTCTGAAAACACAGTCACTTAAAAAAAAAAAATAAGGATCCATATCCTGGTGTATTGGTTTATGTGTAAAGAAATGTTCATGCTTATGACTGACCTATTCACGTTTTATTCAAGGTCCCAAGCACGGCACATAAATTCCCATCTGTCCACCCAGAAACACGTCACTGGACTGCCCTGACATTTGCAGTCCTTCAAGGTCACATTCCTGTTGTACAGGTAATATTTCTCTGAATGGTGTCTGTATATAAAAAACAAGGTTTATTGCCCACAACAACCAATCCAAATTCAAAGGGGATGTATTTCCCTTAATTTGGAGAGCTGTGTCTATGTAACTGTGTCTAGAGACAGGAACTAAAGAAAAATTTCCCCAGGATCTTAACCATTCCCTACTGTATCCAAAACCTAAACAAAATTAGCTTTAGATAAACTCAAAGAAGAATATATAGAAAGTAGTGAATGTCACTTTTACAAAACATTCACTGGTGGTGGACCTAATCGCTGCCATTTGAAACATGCACCAGGAAGCTCCAGCTGCAGTAAATGTTTGATGAATTTTAGATTTGCTCCTTTAAAAGTATACCCCTTAGTATTGTACAGACTGTGTCTTTCTTTGTAGCAAAATTTGAAATGTTATTTCATTATTAGCCAAGTGCATTGGGGTTGATTTATTAAAACTGGAGAGTGCAAAATCTGGTGCAGCTGTGCATGGTAGCCAATCAGCTTCTAACTTCAGCTTGTTCATTTAAGCTTTGACAATAAAACCTGGAAGCTGATTGGTTTCTATGCAGAGCTCCACCAGATTTGCACTCTCCAGGTTTAGCAAATCAACCCCACTGTGTTGTTGTAGCACCAGGTAATCAAATTGACACTGCACTCCACTAAACTCCATAACATGTTTAGGAGAGACTTTTTCTTGGTACCTATGTAGCAGTTAATGGTTACATAAAACATCCAGGACAACAATCGTTAATTCCCGTCTATAATATAAGGCTATTTTCATTTATTTTCAATGTCTAACATGTACTGTATGTGTTTTACTCCTAGTTACTTTTAGATGCAGGTGCCAATGTAGAAGGATCTTTAGAAGCTGGGGAAGAAAATTACTCAGAAACTCCATTACAGTTGGCGGCTGCAGCAGGTTGGTTTTTTGAGTCTTGATAAGAAATATGTTATTTGTTCTAACGATATATACCAACAGACTTGGGAATTGGCCCTGCAGGATGTTGAGCATCTATAGTCTAGCAAAAGCGACAGCTCCAGAATACACCTTACACAAGGAATGCAAGACATGCTTTGGTCAAACAGAGGCAATAGCATCTCTGTTTCCTATTTTATGTTAAGTTTTATATTGAACCAACTTGCATACAGACTTCAAGAATCAACCTAGCAGGATGTGGAACCTCTATAGGCTTCCTTCATTCTCTGCTGTAAAAGCTCTGGGTGCTTCTGTACTTATCCCACCAATAAGGGATAATTCACAGTGCCAGCACTGGGAGAATTACCACAATCCTCGTCATATTCAGAGACATACAGATTTTCAACACTGAAACAGTAGGCAAACAAGCTTTGGCATCCAAAAAAAAAATGTGTACCCAACTTCTATTGAGCAAAAGGCCATGGCTCTTTGTCTTTGCAGAATACAGACACGGGTAACTCTAACCCCAGAGATATGTACTGTGACTTTCTGTGCAGCCAAGGTGATAACATCATCTTTCTTGATGATGCTTGATCATTTAATTCCTGTATCTAAGTTATTGATCTGTTTTATTCAGTTGTATACTGCAAATTTCAAAATGCCTTTCAGGTTAAACACTTTAATCCCTTCCCATAATATCTAATATCCTTAACACCCCCTCTGCTTTTTCATGGTGACCAAACTTCCATAATTTTGCAGTTGCCACTGAAATAGAAGGTGAGTAGAAATCATGTAGTGGGGACACTGGTTCCAGTGAGAGTCTTTTAGAAGGGGAGTTTAAGTCAAACCAAGACTTTTAATTTCACAGGTATAAAAAGGAATGCTAGCGTGGCGCTACTACACGCAGTAGTAAGTGGCAAGTGTGTCATATTACTGACAGGCGTCGCACATGTCATGGACCAGTCCAGAGACAGTAAATCAAGATGGTGAACAACAGTGTTAGTGCGTGCATGGAACAGTGTGTGGTGATGAAGTTTCTTGTGAACGAAGGCTTAAAATCGTGAATATCTACAGAAGACTTCAAACATAGTACAGAGATGACACGCTCCACCGCAATAAGACATCTGAATGGTGTAAATGTTTAAAAGATAGCCGTACATCCATCAGTGACAATCCTGGCTGTGGTGGTTCCCAGTCCACAGCAGTCGGAATGAGGAATTGTGGACATTCAGCACGTGGAACACCTGATCCTGGATAATCAACATATAACTTGTCGTGAAACTGCACAAGAGGCGAATCTTCCTTGGGAACGGTGAACACAATGATGATTAAGTTAAGCAGGCTGTCCTAGGATGGTTCAGGCATACCGACAAATCTTTTTATTCTGGCTGTGGTGGTTCCCAGTCCACAGCAGTCGGAATGAGGAATTGTGGACATTCGGCATGTGGAACACCTGATCCTGGATAATCGACATATAACTTGTCGTGAAACTGCACAAGAGGCGAATCTTTCTGTGGGAACGGTGAACACAATGATGATGAAGTGAAGCAGGCCGTTCTAGGATGGTTCAGGCATACCGACAAATCTTTTTATTCTGAAGCTTTCCAGGCATTGGTTAAACGCTGGGATCAGTGTATAAATGTAGCAGGAGAGTATGTCAAAAAATAAATGTAGTTTCCACTCCTTAAAATTTTTCTTTTATTGTATAAACTCAAAAGTCCTGGTTTGGCTTGAGTGTCCTTACTCTGGAGAGATTTCCTCTGAATTCCTGTTTTGTCTTTTGGGAAGGAAATTGGTGGAAAATGTCTCCAATGATACAGACAGCAAACAAATCTGACCTGTGTTTTACCATTCCCTACTCTATTTAAAATAAAACGAAAAAAGTTTTGGTTAGAGATATACATATTGATTTTAAATATTGCACTAAATGCTGGTTTTGGTATTTTATCTTTCAATGAGCTCTTCGCTTATATGTTTTTTTTTTTCGTTGGAGTTCTGCTTTAAGCATCTAACATTTTTCCAAATCCCATTAACTACAGGAAACTTTGAGCTTGTAAGTTTGCTGCTGGAACGAGGAGGCGATCCGATGATAGGAACTATGTACAGAAATGGCATTTCTTCAGCCCCTCAAGGAGACATGAACTCTTTTAGCCAGGCTGCTGCACATGGGCACAGGTAAATGCATTGAGAGTCTCCTAATAATGTTTTTCTCTTTGTTTTGTTTTTTTAAACATTTTAAAAAGTTTCAGCATCACTTACACTATGGCCACATGTATGTGCACACACCTCCAGGTTATTGAGCCCTGGTGTGTGTGGAATATGTGAGATATCTAAACTAGTCCTTTTATTCTCATTTAAGCAAATCATCGACTCCAAAATGTATCCAAAAAATGCCTTTACTACATGAAGATATTTATTCTATTTGGATATTTGATACAATGTGTGGCTAGCCCTCTATGTGTCATAACTGGGACAATAAAAATGCTCAGCTCCTGTAATGCAGTGCCAGCTTCCCCTGCTGTGCTTCCGTATGAGCTGTGTTATTAAACTCCATAGTTTGTGAGGGAGCCCATCACTGGAATGTCAAGACCCAACTAAGCATTTCCCAAGATTTTGCTTGCTTTTGCAGCTGCTGCTTGGCATTGAGTACTATGACCTGCACCTGCTTAGTTATTATAATTATTTATTCAGCTATGACATATTTTACAGGGTTTTAAAGACTACGTAGACACATCGGTACCTGCCACTAAAAGGAAATGTTCTGTATGCACATGTTAGCCAACGTTTACAGTATGTATGCCGGGAACATGCACACAATCCCACACATTCCCAACACACGAGAGAAAAGTGCTGCTGTTTAGCAGGTGTGCGGGGATGCCATTAATTTTTAATGGCACCCCCATGCATCAGCAAACCACCTGTGTGTTTTGACGCAGGTCCAGGACTTCTTTCCTTGTGTTTCTGTGGGTAGAGCAGTCCATTAAAATGAATGGGCTGCCCTGCCCACATAATACAGCCCACCTGCAGTGTGAACCAGGCCTTAGGCATATTTTATATAAAACATTGGTTTTGTTTGTAACTACATCAGATATAGCACAGTCAGGGCTTTTCCTAACTCACTGCACAAGCAGCACGCCTTAAAGCTGCAGTTTAACCTGCCTATGTGTGGCTTTCCTTGATTCCTCCTCCACAATCATACATACAAATACACAATAGGGACAGCTCTGGAAAACAATTAACCTACCAGTGCGTTTTGGATTATAGGAGGAAATCAGAACTTCTGGTAGAACCCCTCACAAACATGGAGATTGTCTTCTGGTGAGGATATTTGGTTTTAGATAGTACTTGCTCAGGATTTTTCCTCAATTCTATCTGCACATTAGCTCATATAACCTTGGTTTTTCTCATCTCCATTGGGAAACATGGGAGTTAACATTATGCATGGGAGGACCTGTCATCTTGCATTCAGCATGTCCTTGATTTACTTTTCAGGAATGTATTTCGTAAGCTGCTTTCCCAGCCTGAAAAGGAGAAGAGTGATATCTTATCTCTGGAGGAGATTCTAGCGGAAGGATCGGATTTGGCTGAGACAGCAAACACTCCATTGTGTCCAAGCCGGAACAGCAAAGCCAAGCTGAAGGCCCTGAAGGAGGCCATGTACCACAGTGCGGAACATGGATATGTGGACGTAACCATTGATATCAGGAGTTTGGGTTGGTATATTGTCTGATTTGCATTAGCAGTGTGATAAGTGTGTGTAAGCAGTTTTACTTAAATTTTAGGTTTTAACATATTCTTTTATTTCTTTTTTTATTCATAGCCTCCTTCTTGTCCTCTTTTTCACTCTATGCTTTGCTGGCTTTCTGACCTCACTAATTTTTCCAGGTTTTGCTGTTTGCCAATAGATGTAGATCTGTGTAGTCTCATTCATGGATCAACTGCCTTTTATTACAATTGTACACTCTCTCCTGGTTTTGCAGTGGCAGCGCAGCTGTTTGCACTGAGCACACCAGCGGCAGAAGGCCTGGGGCCTAAAGTCGAACTTACGGCAGATATAAAATACCTAATTTAATGCAGCTCTGTATTTAATAATACATTATTAAGTGAATTTTTATAAATGCAAGCAGTGTAAGTACCTGAATTTGGCTTGGCATCAGCCTCTGAAAACCCCCAGTACAGTGGAGCTCAGACTGGGAGAGTGAGGAGCAACACAAAGAGCCAGTCAGTTGTGTTGCAGTGCAGGGAGTCTGCTTCTTATCCTTTCACTGTCCGGTGATGGGCTGGCAGAGGGACAGGACCTGCAGCAGAACAAAATAAGATCTCCTACCCTTCCAGACCAAAACCAGATCCCCTGCCCTACCAGACAAGGCTGTTCTGTGTAGCAGAACTGTATAAATCTCAGGGCTGCACAGTCAGAAATATAAAGTTTTTGGCAGGCAAATCATGGAGCAATGGTTGCCATTGCCAACCTGTCCTTTTGAAAATACTAGCTGTCATGCTGATGCAACAGTTTCAATACTTTCGTAGGCACCGATTTGAAACAATACTGCTGATCAGGAGCTGACTTGTATTCAGGATGGCTATTTTGCATGCTTGTTCCAGGGGCAGTACCTAGAAGACGTTGTCATCAGAGGCAACGAGGGAGCTAGGAACTAGAAAGGAGCAAGCCATTAGAGTCCCTGATTTTTTTGTTCCTATATATTTAGGTCCACTGCCAGCCAGAGGCTGTCATAGAGCAGTGTCACTGGCATTAAGGTACGAGAGTGGAGTTTTAACCCATTAAGCTCCATCCCCATCCACAAATTGACAATGTTTTAAGACACTCCCACATTTAATAAACACTCCCCTTCATTAATTAACAAATTGGGCACTGCCATACTAAAATCAGGACATCAGGTAGGTAAAATTAGTATGTAATATGATGCTCAAAAAACACCTTCAAAGGATTTTTAGTAGTTAAATCCCTCCTTCTTCTTTGTATAACTTCAACATAAGAGCTATTGCACTTAACTGAACATAGAGTGCGATTCCACTTTAGCACACTGACTTTACACCTGCTTTATACTTGTTATGTGTTTCCATTCTCATAGCTTGACTTAAAAGAGAGGTACGGGTTTAAAAAAAAAATCATTCTCATGTAGGTGGATGCAGAATCAATCTGATCTGGCTCTAAGAATTGAGTGATTTCCACTCTGCTTTGATCAGCACCGTCTCTCTGCTGTGCCCTTCCAGTGCTCACCAGTGCCAAGCTGTGGGGGGGAGGGAGCAGCTAGCTCACTCTCCCAGCGCCGCATCTGAGAGGCTAAGCTAGCTGCCAGTCCAGGTATCTGGGCAAAACCTGACCATATTGTGGGAATCTTTCCAGAGCTTGGACTGTCTTTGAGACATCAGCCGACAGCAGGCTTTTGCCCGCTGTCAGCTGAATATGGGTCAAAGGAGTGCAGAGAGGCTGGGGAGTTAAGTTTACCATAATTACCTTTGCCTGTACTGTGCTGGGAGATTTCATTATCAGTTAACTAGATAAAGCACACTGCCTGTCCCTACAAAGAGCTTAAAGCCTAGTACACACAGGCCGAATGTTGGGCGACATCAACTGGTTCAATAGAAACCTGCTGACATTCTGCCCATGTGTAGGGCAGCCGGTCCAACAGAAGCCGGCCAAGCAGGATCGAAAATAGTTTGCCAGTCGGAAAAAAAAAAAAAAAAGTCACTCATTCTGTCCCCTAATTACACATTTCAAACTATTCTGAACAACAAAATTGTCTATAGCATCCTATGTATACTAAAGCCTAGTGCACACGATGAGAGTATCGGATGAATGATCGTCTTTTTTTTTTGCATGCTAGTCTCATATCGAACATAATTCAGAAGTGATGTAATGTATCGTATTGCAGTGTATTCTTTTGTTTCTGACCGTGCATAGTTTTGGTCTTCTGATTTTTTAGCAACAAATACTGTACTGATTAAATGAAAATCGTTAATTCTGTTATCATACAAGAAACATATTCCTGCTTGTCCCTTCGGATATTTTTGCTTGAGCTGTTGTGATCAACTCTTGAAAGCTGTGTTCTAACGATCAGATTATTGTTCGGTCACTCCGAAAGCTGTATTTTACATCAGATATTCTCATTGTCTGTATGAAGCTTAAGCCTGCTCTGAAAAAACAGCTAGGGAGATAAATCTAATTTATGTTATCATTTTATGTTGTGTGAAAGGCACATGTATGTAGCAGGCGTTTCTCAATTTTGACAGCAAAAGCGGAAAAAACACTTTAAGCAGTGATCTAAAGGTACATTGAGCTTACCTGTTAACACTCTCATTAACATTGTTTTATTCAGTCTGGTTACTATAGGCAATGCAGACTTATTTCTTTCATGCAATTCATCAGGCAGCAGTTTTCATTAAAATCTATGTGTGTTCCTGTCTTTCATTTCCTGCCTTCTTAAAGTATCATAAAGTTATTAGATTTCAATAACATGCTCCTGTGAGCGTCAACTATACCCCTTCTGGCAATAAATGAGCCGTTCACTTCATTTGCTGCTGGGGGACCGTGCATACCAGCGGTGCACACAGGGAAGTATGCCAGTGGCTTTTTGGTTTTCTTCACTTTTTAGGGTCCATTTATTAAGCTTACTTTTGCATAATTCATCACTAAGAAAAAATGGAATGATAGACAAACGGCACTTGACTAGTTGGTTGTTTAAAATGTAAATTGTATATTCTGAGGATGGATGCAGGGTCTGTTCAAAGGTAATTTTAGTGACTACATACAGAGCACACACAAAAATATATATATATAAAAACTTGATTAACAATTATTAAATAATATATAAAATAATGTCCAAATAAAAGTGCAAAAATAAAAGTCCCAATCCAAAAAATGAAGATATCTTAAATCCAATGTGCTCCAAAATGAAAAATGAAATTAAAAAAAGTGCCGTATGCAAAAAAGTTCAGTGTATTAACACCATCCGTGATAACTAACATATACTGCACTCACCAAATATAATGGATTCTCAATGATTAAGAGTCAAATACTCTTTGTGGATATTATATATCCTTCCAATAGGGATTTCCACTGCTCAGAAGAATGCTCCAATAGAAGGATTTCCCACACAATTCGATATTGTCAAAAGAATTTAATTTCTAAAAACACATGTATAAACAATAAGAAACGCCTTGGGTCAATTACATATAACTATCAAATCACTTTCTGCCAATGAAGATTTCCCATAGTGTGTGAACTGGCAGCTCAGATGGATACAGACACAGTAAAGATGGATGGCTCTGGAACGCAGCATCCAGCGTGCGTTCCGCTCCCCAGAAATTACGTCATGGCATAGCAAAGATAAAACAGAAGTTACGTCGCCACGTTTAGCCCCTCCTCCAGGGCGTTATCAACATTAGCTTGTTTAATTAAACTTTGAGAAATAAAAACTGGAAGCTGATTGGTTTCTATACAGAGCTGCACCAGATTTTGCATGCGCCACTTTTAGTAAATTACCCCCAATGTTTAAGTCCACAACAGAAAGTTAGGAGCTGAATGCATTTCTGGCAGATAAGGCATTTTCTATATTTACAGAGACATTAAGGGATAAAATACTGCATGTTTTTTTGTAATTAACTTTAAACAGGCAAGAGGAAGGTTTAGCTTTACATGTTGTAGACCTGATTGGTACATTTTAATTTTCTAAAATAATCTAAGGGCATTTTTACATTGTGGTAACGTGTGTAAAAAAGGCACGTCTTCAAACATGTTACAGCAACACACAGCCCAACACATGCATAGGTGCATTGCCATTTCATTTCGCACTATTGCATACACATGTAAATACTCTGTGCGCTGTGTTGTCAGAAATAGTGCAGATGCATTTTTTTCGTGTCCTTCTAAAAAATACCCTTGCCATCATTGCAGCATGCTGTTGCTCTAAAAAAGACATGTGCTCCAAAAATATTTCTCAAGAATTCCTAAAAACACCTTTAAATATTTCTATATGAAGAAAATGTCGATGTGACCGTCTGCGCCTTTGTGGTGTGTAATGAAGCGTTACGATATAATTTAATTCCACTAACAGAGTTACATTTATAGTTGAAAATCCCTGTGCTCCATGTAAATTGCTTTTCCGTACAATCTACAAACCCTTGTAATTGAAGACTTCAGAATTAAAATAAAAAATGGACCGATGTCACAGGTGTTTAAATCGGTTCCCTGCTGTGCTTAAATGGAACTTCCTGTGAGATGATCTAACACTAAATTCAAATGATGAGACCTGTGGAGAGAACAGAGGAGGCGGAGGATTATTAGACTCCTGTCGTGAGATATATATGTATTTTTAAATAAACTGTTCCTAAGCAAAATATGCTGGCTGTTATGTTGAGCACTGGCTTCAATGCCCCCTGAGTACCTGGTCTGGAATAGGTTGGCAGATCTGGCAAGTCAGTATAAAGTCAGAAGTCTTTATTTGTGCACACATATGACTTAAAATTGCTGGACACCTGACCATTTAAATGGAGTTAGCCTCCCTTCCATTTGCAGCTATAACATCCTCCACTGTTTTGGGAAGGCCTCCCACAAGATTGGCTGGTTGCCACACTGACTCGATGGCTTCAATGTAGAACACAGCTGGATATGTCCAAAAGTTTGTGGACACCAGACTTTACCATCTACTACATGTTCCAAAGTATTTAAACAGCCCTTCAAATTATTGAGTTGAGGTGTTTCCAGGGAAAGGTTTTATGTGCGCGTCCAACCTTGTAGCAACAGTTTAAAGAAGGCCATTTTCTGTTCCAGCAATACTGTGTCTCTGTGCTCAAAGACAGCTCCATAAAGACATAGATTGATGGGTTCTATGTGGAGGAACTTAATTGGTCTGCAAAGAGCCCTGACTGCTACCCTACTAAACACCTTTGAGTCCTCATATTCCTTCTGTACTGAAATGCATTGTAATTGTACTGTCTCTCGTTATATTGTAAAGCGCTGCGCAAACTTGGTGCTATATAAATCCTGTATAATAATAATAATTGTAATGTGAATTGTGAGCTAGGTCTCCTCGCCCAACATCAGTACCTAACCTCACAAAATTTTTTGGCAAAATGGGCATGCATTCCCACAGACACACTCCACAATCTTGTACAGCCTTCCTATAAAAGTGGAGTCTATTATAGCTGAAAGGGGGAGGGCTAGCTCCATATTAATACCAATGGTTCTAGAATGGGATGTCCAACAAGTGCATATAGGGTATTTAGGTGTCCACAAAGCTTACAATATGGATAAACAGTTTCTTAGTCAGTCATAGATGTATTTGTTGCTTTCAGGTGTCCCTTGGACTCTTCACACATGGCTGGAATCTCTACGCATTTCTTTCCACCAGCACAGACGTCCACTAATTCAGTGTTTGCTTAAAGAGTTCAAGTCTATTCAGGAGGAGGAATACACAGAAGAACTAGTGACACAAGGGCTGCCTCTCATGTTTGAGATATTAAAAGCTAGCAAGGTAGGTAGAGTTGATGCCATTCCTAGTTGTATGTTACCCAAATGATCATTCTTCCTTTCTCTATCCTTTCTTTTCACCATCCCCCTCTCTTTTCCACTAGCCTTCTAGCTTTCCCTCTTCATAGGGTTGCAGTATAATTGTGTATGTCATTTTAACTGTGCTTATCTGTAATGTACTAGGAGAAATATGAAAGCTGCCGATGCAGACCCTTGTTTAGCCTAGTGGTGCAGGGATAAGATGTCTTACTTATCATACCCCTCTCTCCGGCACTGTTCTCCTCTGCAGGTGACCCTCAGGGGCATCACTTACAGTGCAGGGCTATTAATTTTGCATTGTAGGTGAGGAGGCAAACATGCGACCAAGCCCAAAACTGCCTTAGAGGAGGCTAAGTGGGACTGGTACACAGCTGGAGGGACCCTGCTGGAACAAGGAATAAGGTAAGCATTACACCTTATCCCTGCGCCACTAGACCAAAAATTTTACTAGCAATGCAGGGGAAACACCCACTGCAAAGGTGAATTTTCTTTAAAGCGGTTGTAAACTTTAGACATGAAATCTGAACAAGGCATATCACTCTATAGTGTTTACTTGCCTCTCTCCAGAGAACTAAGTGTCATTTCTCTCTGCTGTATAGTTCTTCTGGTATCAGCATGAGTCACTTCTGACAAGTTTTCCTGACACCAAGAGCTAAAAAGGTGACGGGAGGGAGCTCCAGCTGATTGACAGCCTCATCTCTGTGTCCTGTGCGCTGTGTGAAGGGGGGAGTGTCTCTTCCCTCCAATCAGATCTCAGAACTCTTGTACAGTGTGTAACTACAGCTCCCCACCCAATGCTTTGTGAGGCTGTGAAAAATCCTTTTCATCTCTGAGTTTTACAAGGATGTACAGGACAAATGGCTGCAGATAGACTGGTACAACGTATGTAGGAGGATTTGTTTCATTTCTGTGTATCACCTGAGGCTAGTCACTTCACTTGGTATAGGTAAGGGTTTACAACCACTTTAATGCCTCTACTTCCCAGCAGCACATACTGCCTTTCCTTGGTGCTCTGGTAATGTGTCACTGCCAGTATTGGTGATTGACACAGCGCTTCCAAATGAAGGTGTGGGGAGAGTCCTCAGCACTGTGTACGTTCCAACAAGAGTGAGGGCAGCTCAGGCTGCACTATAATGCTGTGGCTTTTTCAGTATAATTAAAGTAATAACAGGTGTGTGCGCTTAAGGACTTTCAAGGGTAACATCCAATGTGCCCATCCAAGGGTGGTGTCCAACGTGCCCATCCAAGGGTGTCACAAGTTATCATTTATAATATTGACTGTCAGTTAAAGAAATAGTTAACAGTTCGCGCCTGTAACTGATTACCATGCAGTTGATTAAAGGTGGAGTGATATGCTAATTTACTAATGTGCAAACCAACAGCACTGGGACCTTCATTAGCATGATATGCCTGTGAACCAGCAAACAACACCAGCTGCACCAGTCCACAGTCCTACCCAGTATTATGTAAACTACAGAGCTGCTTCAGCTTCTGATTTCATTTTCAGTTCCATATTCACACAAACCGGTGACCAAAAAGAAAAAAACATTTCATGAAATTATGAAATTATTTAAATCAATATGCTATCACTGGAGTCTAACTTGCAGCCACAGGGCCACTAGTTAAACACTTTTATCCTGAATTATACTTAATATAACCTAAAGAGACCCTGTCACCAACCTAATAAAAATTAAAGGAAACGGCTATGGAAAATAAAGTATTGTAAATGTTTACTTGCACTGCTATTATTTTCCAAAAATATTGTTTATTCATTTGCACTTTCTAGAAAATATGTCTAGTCTGGTCCTTTACACAGCCCCCTCCCGTCTTTCATGTCATAGCCCTCTCCCCTTCTGGGAGTGTCTGAATAATGTCTGTGCTGGCCCAGCTCGTTCACCCCTTCCTTCACCTTCCTACATAATGTTTTAAGTAGCCGCTGTGGGAGGGGCAAAGAGGAACACTATAGATTGTGACTTGAGAGACAGCTGCTGGGGCTACTGACAGACCCCAGGATGGTGACACCCAGCAATAGGTTTAAGGCTTTTGGACGTCTAAACAAGGGAGGCTTTCACAGGTAGATAACATGGATAAAATATATTCAATGTACATATAATCTCATTTTGTCATAATGGATGGTCTGGCAACAGATAAAGATATCTACAAACCTGGATGCTGGACTGTATTTGGTATGATTAGGATTCAGTAAGGTAGGTATTTCAAACACACAATTTTGCCGAGAACAGTACTTTTTTTAAAATTTCTTTATTGTGAAAATCCACTTCTATTAAACATTATGCATTTTCACCTCTCCCAGCAGCCTATGAAAAAATGATAATATGATACCAAAGATAAATCCTGTTTCAGCAACATGGTCTGGCTCTGGGCTTGCATTGATCTTGGCTATGTAAAAACTGTTCCTGGTCACCACAAGAAAGTGCTGTTGGGTCAGTTTTTTCACAGCACAGCTGGGTATACTCCGAGACCAGAGGATGTGGGCTGTATTGCCGGACACAGGACTTTATGGGGTCTATGTGTAAAATGTTTGCTGTACAAATGTACTATTTACATCAAAGGAAGGAAATGTTGATATAGGGTCAGTTGTATATCGTTTTTAACATTAATACATTTTAAAGTGTATGTATGTTGTTGCTTTTTTTTATCTAAAATCTTTGTTTTAGAAATAAATATCCAATAAAGGGTAACCATATTGTCACAACGTATAATAGGTTTGCTAAAGTGAGTGCACAGCATAGTTTATAGCTTTTAGACTGTCTCTCTCTATTTGAAACTTGGTATAAAGCCAGCTAAACAGGTAGGAAGTGAAAGAGAAGGGGGAATGACTCACTGCTCTGCCATTCAGTTGTGTGGGTAAATTGAGGTTGAGCTATTGTGCTCTGTAAACAGACTTTTTCTTATCAAGGCAGGGAAAGACAACCTGAAAATCATGTGAAATGGAGCCTACATCAACATATGCTGATGAAAATATAACATCTACATATGCAACATAAATAGTTCTATGACTAAAGAGAGAAAAGTATTTTTACAAATACATTTTCAGATCTGATCATAATAAATTAAATATGACAAATACAACATTCTCTTTAAGCAGAGCCTATTCGTAAAAATACCTAAACACTGTAAGAGGCTAGTATTTCCATTTAATTAATTAATATTCTCAGCCAAGATGTTCTTGTATCGTCGGTGTCTTCTCCTTCCTGCAATCATCTCATTACAGGCCTTCGGGGAAGGCACTTGCCTTTTCATTCTAGGTTTCCCAAAGTTCACATCACAGCTGCGGTTTTAAAGGCAATTTCCAACTTTATCTTTGGCAGTTATCCCAGTGCTGAGCCTGGTGGGGCTTTTTATTCTTTCCCTCATTTCATCCGGGTCTACTGAGGGAACAAAAAAGCTTAATCTGCTCAGAAGAAAACAAGTTTTCTAGTGCAGCTTCCTAGTTGCGGTCCTTTAGACTTCCAATGCCTTGCCGAGATCCAGATTGTTTTTAATTACAAGTGCTGCCACGGTAGCAGAGAGAGGTGCTCTGGAGTGAAATTTAATCAGTTTTACCACTGCTAACAATGAGAGTTACACGAGAGAGTCTTCTGCCGCTGAAAAGGAGTTTACATTTGGGCGGCTTGTGGTGCTCCAGCTATTTCTTTACTTTAGTGAGTCTGAAAACATATCAAAAGTTTACTTATGTTTCAGCATCAGCTTGAGTGACCTTCGCTTTTTTTTAAATTTCAGTTTTCAACTCGTAACAGAACGTGTCCTGGTTCAGAATCTGATATTGTGCATACCAGAGTTTCACCATAACAGCCATTCACCAGCATTTTCAGGTTTTAGCATTTTCAGGAGCCCCTACCAACAATTCCTTTGTTGTTAGATTCAAAAGGTCAACACATTTGATTTCCATCCTTATTTACTCAAGATGCAAATTCGCACTTTCCTAAAGTTGGGGCAACTTTTGCCATAATATATGTACACACATACCTGTCAAAGTTCCCACCTCTAGCGGTAATAGGCCAGGGCTTCAATTTCCGCTATGTCTGACAACAACACCATCTTACGTACTGGTTCTTCTATGTCCTGCAATGGTTCTCTTCAGCCATTGATGCTCTAGGAATGAAGCTTCCCATCACAGATTAATAGCCCATATACAATTTTATTTCAGTAGAGAGATCAAATATCAAAATGGGAAGCCAAAGCATTTCAGGGATTCAAAAATGTCCCCTTCATCAGGACTTAAAACGGAAATACTGAATTGAGGGTAAACATTTAATGGTATTTGTACCAGTGTGATATCAGGTGGCAGCTCACCTGCTTAGTGGTCCTTGGTTGAAATCCCAACCAGTTATGCAGTAAGAGCATACATATCAGTGTGCTTCCAATCACAGCACCTGTGATTCTTTTCAGAATATTGACTTTTAGCTGAAATTGAGAGGTGTGATCAGCACACCTTCATAGGGAGTGAGGTGTGCTTTTCTAATTGGGGATGATTGGGGAATGTCAGATCTCTCAGCTTTCATTAGAAGTGAACATGTTCCCATAGCATGGCCTGGGCTCATATGGAGCATCTTTGCACTGTAAATCAGTTGTGTCCAGCAGTAGAAATTCAGAAGTTTGGGTACCATCTGTTTATCACCAACTCTATAGCAGACAGCTGCATGAAGCTTTTAGTAATTCTTGCCTAGACACATTCAAAAAGGTAACCTTTTATTTTTTTATGATTCCAGAACGAGGTGATCAGTCAGCAGCTAGCTGTCATCTTCAGTCAGTGCTATGGACCATACCCTATCCCAAAGCTGATAGAGATAAAGCGCAAACAGACATCAAGGCTGGGTAAGTGGTTGAACATATCACAAGTAAAATGACTGTCTGTTAAACAAAAGCGTGTAGGCACTTGGAGGTGCTGATTCCTGCATCAGCTGTCAATCCCTCCTCTAAACCCCAATGCTGGGCCACTCTGATTGGTCAAAATTCCAGCACTTCTTAAACTGTCAAAGGCTGTCCATTCCTTCCCACCCCCAATCCCTTCCCACTGGCCCATCACTATGATGGGCTGCCAGGGGACCAATGTCCCCTGAGTGAGGTCATTTAGTAGGTAAATTATGGCATCAATAGCATCTCTCTTACAAGGTCTGCTCCTAATGGAGCTGAAAATCATATACTTGCTCTATACACAGCACCACCCAGTGGATGTAGGGAAGAAGCACAGCAGATTAATGGAGGTAGGGCAAGTAATGCCTTTTATATGTCATATAAAAAAGCCTCCCTGCCCTCCCCAAGTTTCTGTTAGAAGACCAGAAAATTGCTAACTTATGATTTGTCTTATAATCAACTGAACTTTTGACTTGATATCTTTCCAGATCCTCATTTTCTCAATAACAAAGAGATGTCAGACGTCACGTTTATTGTTGAAGGAAGGCCTTTTTATGCACACAAAGTGTTGTTGTTTACAGCATCTCCAAGGTGAGATTATCAAATGGGAACCTGCAGTGATTGTAAACTTTTTACCATGCCATACATACATACAAATGTAAGTAACCTAAACAGAACCAATCCCAAGGAGGCATTTGTAAGAATCTGCACCTCACCTGAACTTTTGCAATAGTGAAGCCTTGCTTCTGAAGGGATTGCTTGGTTTTTTTTTACTTGTAGTCTGTCCCTGTCAGAGAAGTGTCAGGTTGAGTTTCAGGTTCTGAGGCCATTCTGTCTCCTCTCTGAGGTCAGTGCTGACAACAGCACTCCAAAAAAAAGTAGCAAAGGTGCCAAAGTAATACAAAGGAAAAATTAAAGACTATGACCATTGATGGTTTTAGCATCCTTCAGCAGTCTGAACAGAATATTCGGTATCAGCCCTGGGCTCAGGCAGGGGAAAGGTCATGTTCCATGGTGGCCTTCCAGTGAGCAGTAATGAACACCAACACACACCCCTATCCCCAGGAGGTAGTTCTGCACTATTATAGCAGTATAAGAGTGGGAATTCTGATCTCCTAAGAAGATCAAACTTCCCTAGGCATTAAAAAACAGGTGCTGCTAGCCATCGGAAATGCTTTTCATCATGGTTGTAGACCATTGAGCAGTATTTATACATATTTTATTGTGCTCTGGTCTTTCATTTATTCTCAATATTCCTGCTGTTCCTCCATCTCTTGGAATTCAGAAAGAAAAACAGCGCTTTGAATGTTGTTGGTGCTAAGGGTATTTAGTCCAGTTATAAAGATTCTATTTAGTGCCCTAAGTAATAGGTTCACTTTTAGCACCTTGGTTACTTTGGAATACTCGGGCATGTCAAGCAGGTTTGAAAATGTAAACCCTGAGAGGTTGCTGTTCCCTGAAAACCCCTCATGTACTCATTCGCACATTCTGTTCAATCCCTGATTAAGTCATCTATAGAAATTTTCAAAGAATATTTAAGGCTTTAGATTTTTGTTGAGAGAAAAAGAGAGTGCATTTACTTTGCTGATTCTTTCTTCAGTAAACCTGTGGATGGCTATCAGCGTGGTTTGGATTTTGGCAATAATACATTTTTAATATACTCTGTTTTGTTTAGGTTTAAAGCACTTCTTACAAACAAGTCTACTGCAGAAAACAACTGTATTGAGATCAACTATGTGAAGTATCACATCTTTCAGGTTCGTTTTTTAAGAAAAGGTTTTAATTCAGCAAAAATTACAATATTCATTTGCATGACCAGGCTGTACAGATATGGAGATATATTGTGGTAAAAATGTACCTGCTGAGATCTGGAACTGAATACATGACATACTGTTTAAAGGTGTTTTCATGGTAAAATTACAACTAGAGCAATTAATAGTCCACTAGGTGAGAATGAAAGAAAACTTGGTAAATTATGGCATCCACAGCATCCCTGTTACAAGGCTGCTCCTAGCAGAGCTGCACATTGTATACTTGCTCTATGCACAGCACCATCTTGTGCCTGAAGGGGAGAGCACAGCACATTCATAAAGGAACGTCCTTTATATTTTGCATAGTTTTGTAAATGTCAAGAATCAGCAGCAGAGATGGCCAAATCTGCATAGCTACAATCAGGAAACCAGCACTACACCATATATATTTAAAGTAAAACTTAATAATAGTAAAACCAAAGACTTCCAAGCACCAGCAAACATAAAGATATAAGTGAACCAATAACCCAGTGACAAAATACCTAACTAAATGACCGAAATACCAGAAATCCTAAATATTGAACTATATACAAATGGGCAACTCAGGAAAGCAGGGTAAAACTGGAGGTGCAGGGAACATATAGGATGGAGAAACCAAACTGAGATCAGGAACAAAGGGGAGTAGGAACAAGGCAGTAGGGTTCAGGGTAAAGGTACTAGGCAGAGAGCATTATGAAAGAGTAGGGACAAGATAACAGCTAGCAGTATCTGGCAGCAAGCACAACACTTGAGAAAGGCGTATCAACAGAAAAGGGACTAAATACTCTCCCAGCACCCACATCAGGTGAGCCTGATTACTGCAATCTGCTGGCTGCTTGGCTGCTGGGAGACACCCACTGGTGCACACCAGAACTACAACCTTCTGTGCTGGGAAGCACAGTGCCACAAGCAGGTGATCCAGGTCATACCAGCATAGCTGTAACCTGTCAGCAATGACTAGTAGAGGAAGAGGGGATGTCAGAAAGGCATGCTGCATATTTTAATTCTGGAATTGTTAGAGGCCAGACAAAGGAATTTATTTCATACATACAGGGTTTATTAATTCTTCATTTAATTTACATTATGGATAAACAGTAAGTGAACCTTTTTAACCGGCATGACTCAACCAGGAACTATGACAAGGGGACCAAGCCATTGCAGTCCATAAACCATATAGAATTCAATGGGTCAGTGAATCCACCAACATCCACCCCACTGAAATCTTGGGTTTGGGTGGACTTTCCCTGTGTTCTTTTTAACTGGCAGGACATAACCAGGAACAATGACAAGGAGACCAAGCCATTACAGTCCATAAACCATATAGAATTCAATGGGGCAGTGAATCCACCAACATCCACCCCACTGAAATCTTGGGTTTGGGTGGACTTTCCCTGTGTTCTTTTTAACTGGCAGGACACAACCAGGAACTATGCCAAGGAGACCAAGCCATTGCAGTCCATAAACCATATAGAATTCAATGGGTCAGTGAATCCACCAACATCCACCCCACTGAAATCTTGGGTTTGGGTGGACTTTCCCTGTGTTCTTTTTAACTGGCAGGACATAACCAGGAACAATGACAAGGAGACCAAGCCATTACAGTCCATAAACCATATAGAATTCAATGGGGCAGTGAATCCACCAACATCCACCCCACTGAAATCTTGGGTTTGGGTGGACTTTCCCTGTGTTCTTTTTAACTGGCAGGACACAACCAGGAACTATGCCAAGGAGACCAAGCCATTGCAGTCCATAAACCATATAGAATTCAATGGGGCAATGAATCCACCAACATCTACCCCACTGAAATCTTGGGTTTGGGTGGACTTTCCCTACGTGTAATAAAGTCAGAACCTCAGTGATTCCAGGAGTGCAATCAAAGTGTACTATAGTGCTGGCCCTGTCTTCCAGCTCCTGATGCAGAACAGTTTCTAAGTGTGTCTGTGAAGACTCTGCATGGTCACAGTGACAAAAGAGACATCAGACATTGCCAGACAAGAGTTGTATGAAGTTAATATGAAAACAATACCTGCATACCACTAATCTCTGTCCATCGGCATTTTAATGTAACGGTCCTGACATACTTAATGGAGGATTTACTTTAATATAATTTGACCTAGCAGGTTAGAATGGTTTATGAATTATGCACATCATATTAATAGGAGCACATAGTCAATGCAGTTAGCATAAATTATGCATCATACAGCGCAGACTATTGCCATCGACGAGAGGGAGTAATAAAACCATCCGAGCCAATTCCATTTTGTCAGGCTTGCTCTTTGACAGCAAATCCAAAGCTGTAGAAAGACATTGGTTATGTCAGTCTAGTACCCACAGCTTTTAGGTGGAACTCCAGACAAATATAAAACCCTATTTAAGTCAGTTTATTGACAAATAATTAAAAGTATTTTAAAAACAACTGGAATAGGTATCTGAATTTGTCATTATATTTGCTTCCTGTAATTATGCATGTAGACCGTAGTATCTGCCAGTGATATTGCACTGGGAACATGCTTTCAGGAGATCACTTCATTAGTGTGCTTTTTATCCAACATTGTCCACTTAACAGTCCAGTCTGTAGTAAACAGGTGACATCACTTTACTCCTTAACTGTAGAAGAGAAAATGGTGTTAACCTCATAGATATTCAGTGTGTCGGGGATGTACAAATCACTGAAGTGACTGAACAGAATGATGCATAGTGTTCACATGTATGCTTTTAAATTGAATATTAATCTGTTTGGATAGAGGTTTCCACATTCAATAGGTTTTTATTAAAGCTTTCCAAAGTACAGTTATTACAAGTATAAGTGATAATAGGCAAATGTGACCAATACTGGGTAGAGTTTTTTGAAAGTAGAGTTTTACCGATTATGCAGATACCACAAATGAAAAGACTGCATATCATACTTAATGTATGGCAGTGCAGCCTATATATTAAGTGCTCATAATGGAAAAACTTGTATGTTACCAAGATTCAAGAAAGTGTGAGATGCCTTATACCATTATATTGAATAGTTATCCGCGGTATCTAAGGTACAGGTTTCTTTTGAAACATGCACAGGTATTTTTACCAAGGTCTATTAAGTAGGATGGCTTCACAATGTCTGTTTTTGTAACAGCATTTCACTTTTTTCCTCCCTTTTTCTTTCTCCAGCTGGTCATGCAGTACCTGTATTACGGAGGCACAGAATCACTTCTCATTAAAAATAATGAAATCATGGAGGTAAGACGCGGGTTGTGGAAGTCTTGAGTAAATTAGATGTTCAGGCTTAACCAGCCGCAGATGTTTCGAGAAGAAACCATTTACTCTATCCTGCCGATGCGACAGAGGCGCCACCTCAATGCCAATTTACTGATTGATTGATAATCCAATATTGGCGCTGTATTTCAAGGGCTTGGTCTCCAGCCCATGCATGAAATCAGCTTATTATTATGGCTTGAAATTATGTATTCGCCATCCTTAACGCCTCTTCTTTTTTTCTGCAGCTGTTGTCAGCCAGTAAATTTTTTCAACTAGAAGCTTTGCAACGCCACTGTGAAATAATCTGTGCGAAAAGCATTAATACAGAAAACTGTGTGGATATTTATAACCATGCCAAGGTAATTTTAAAAAGTATTTCAGTTCTTTTTTTTATCTGGATAATCAGCGTAAATTTAAAATTTAGAAAAAAAAACAATCCATGTAAAGAAGGGATACTATACTTACCTGTTCCACCTCCTTGACTGCCAAACTTTTCTATGGTGTCCAAAGAATCCTTTTCATCCTCGAACATTGGAAGAAGCCACAGCGCTAACTGGGGGACCAGGAATCTTACACTTCTGGAAGTTTGCAGGATAAAGAGGGTTCAGAGAATGTGAATGGGACAGGTTCTCTTTAAATTACATATTCACCTGTCTGTAGCACAGATGGTAAAAATCTAATGCTGGGCTGCCCACATCTGCACACTAGTATCCCATACATAGATTTGAATATGCTGTACAGGTATTTTCCATTTACGGCAATGAGATGTGGGTGCGCAGGTATGGGCAGCCCACACTAGGTTTTTACTGGCTAGGGAGAGGGGCTGGTTTTTTTTTTTTTTTACATGTCCTTTAAGAAAGGTTGTTTTTTTTCCTCATTTTATTTTGTGGGGTAGGGGCAGTTCAAGGTTGTGGGAAGGTAAAGTAATGAAAATGCTTGATGTTTACTTTAAGTGTCTTAGCCATATAACTCAAGAATCATTCAGCGTGTACTGAAATGTTTACTTAATCTACTGGCTAATCCAGTCCTTTCCTCTAAATCTATTATAATCTTGTGTTTGACAGTTCCTCGGTGTTCCTGAGCTCTCCTCGTACTGTGAAGGCTTCTTTTTGAAAAACATGATGCTTCTCATCGAAAACGAAGCCTTTAAACAACTCTTGTATGATAAGAACTGTGAGACAACAGGCCAGGATGTGCTAGGCGACTTACAAAGGACGTTGGCGACACGGATACAGTCTATTCATCTGTCTTCTTCCAAAGGGTCTATAGTATAGAATCAGAAGCTGCCAGGATGGACAGTGTACTGTATTAGCTCACAAAGGGTCCTATGAAGATAACAAGACTTTTACTAAACTCGATATCCTACTTTTCTGTGATGGCTTAAGGCAGAAATGTCAAAACTTCCAGCTTGGAAAAAAATATATAAAAAAAAACATAGAAAATATAATTTCTATTTTTTTTAAAGACACTGCAAAAAAAGGATGACTGAATATTTTCCAAGGGAAAAACATGGCGGCTTTGATGTATAACCAAGCAAAAAAAATAAATAAACAAGAACCTACTTAAGAAAAATATATATGGGAAGATCTCTAAAAATTTTAAAAAAACATGTTCATAGATGTCAAACTAAATACCCTATTTAAAGGTGATATTTTGATTTTCCTTAGCATTATGCAGCTCTGATGTATGTTTTTGAATCTAGGAATTAAAAAAGAGAGAGACAGTATATAAAAAAAACCAGTTTATTAAGATGGAAAATTAAGACTGTACAGTCTGAAGCAGGAAGATTTTTAAGGGTGAGACTTTTTAAAAATTTATTAAATACTGGGGTGGCCTTGTAGGTTAAAAAAAGACTTTTCTTATCCTCTGTATTTCATTTCTCAAAAAGTTGTAATTAATCTGTACAACCGTTATTTCTTTTAATCCTTCCTGTTTATTTGACAACTTGGTACCAATTTCTGTGAACTCTGTATGATTGAAATGTCATCCTTTTAATTCAAACTGCTGCTTCTTCCTGGACGAAGAAGAAACCAGTTTCAAAAACAGGCGTGAAGTCATTATTATTGGTGATAGAGAAACAAAGTTTCAAAAATTGGCATGTCGGTAGTTACTTTGAACAAATTAAGCAAATTCTGATTTGCATGATTATTGTGTATCATTTTTTGCCAAAAAAAAAATTCTGCAGTTAATCGTCCATTTGTGAAGTTCGCACTGCACACGCCCAATTTTGTTTCACTGTGAATATGTTAAATTGATTGTAGATGTTAGTTTTTACATGACATAGTAAAAAATGGTGCAAAAGTTTTTTTTTTCCCTCTATTCTTGTAATATAAAGTAATTATTTTTATTGCATTGTAGAGATACCAGTGTGTCACCGTGTTTGGGCACTGAAAGCCATAAGGATCATAGTTATTGTTTAACAATACAGTTATCTTTAGTTTGTTATTGTAGGACAACGTCACAAAAAAGTCAAAAACACCATCTCGTCTTTGTATGTTTCGTTCTATGTGTCAGGAAATTTCTTTCTAATGTATGCCGAAAAAAAAACACATGGACTTGTTACGTGCCACCGTCCTCCTGGACAACTTTTTGCTTAGCAATCAATTTGCATGATGACTTTAATGTACAACTTAAAAAAAACTTTGTGAGATTATGGCTGATGTTAATAAAAATAACATTTTTATTCCATGTTGAAAAACTAGGGCATCGTTTATTTAGACAAGCATGCCAGTTCTTGTCGAAGCTCCAATGACTGGTAGTTGTTAGAAAATCTCTCACTGGACAATGCAATGTAATTATTTGGTGCGTTGTTTGAATATCAGTGTCCGATGCAAATTGGTGTCCTTGGCTTTTGAAGCAATCAGTTCACACCGGTGTCACACTAGCAGTTTACAAAGCTGTTCTATAGGTTTGATCTGTCAATTTTTTTTGTATTGGTGCCTATTGGCACTGTAAGATTTTCAAGCAGGATTCAGTTTTCATAGTTACCATAGGCACTTCAGTTTTTCCAACTAAACTTAATTTAGCATACTTCCAAACTGTCCTTGGTCCTGATTCATGGATCACCAAGAAGATGATTTTGCCAAAAAGAGTTGCTCTGGTTAAATTGACGACTAGCCACATGGGCAGGCTTGATAGAGTTAGGATGAGGTTTAAATTTGCCTTAACGAGGGAAAACAGATAACATCAAATGAAAACAAAGGTAATAGTAGGTAGTAGTTATTCACAATCAACTAGACTTGTTCTGTAGTGTTGAAGACAATTCATAGCTTGTCCAAATCACTTCTTCAGTTCTAATGAGCATAAGGAAAATACCCCAGCATTTTTATCCAAACAGGTAGAACCTACACCTTGATCCAATCTCCTTTGAAAGGGAGATGTTATTGTCTAAAGCAGGCATCTCCAAACTTTCAAAACAAATGTCCCAGCATCAGCGGGGGAAATAATGCCTTATCTTTTGTGTCAGTGGGAGGAATAGTGCCCCATCATTGGGTGTCAGTGCGAGAAATAGCACCCCATTGTTGGTGTTAGTGTAAGAATTATTGCCCCATTTTTGGTCCACAGTTTGGAGACCACTTGTCCAAGGACAGGGTGGGAGATGTGGAAATTGTTGAACCACCCTGTACTAGTCACATAATTCCATCCTTGGTGTCAGGAAAACTTTATAAATGTTAATACTTAAATTTGCTTGGCTGAAATTGAGAACTATTGTCAAAACATTGAGGTAGAGATGTTAAGACAGCATTAGAACTGAAGAAGTGGCTTGGACAAGCTATGAAATGTCTTCAACATTACAGAGTAGGTCCGGTTAAATGCTGCTAGATAGACCATGAACTGGATAACTGAGAACTTTCACAGACTTATTGCTAGTAGTAGTTAATCACTTTCAACAAAACTTGTTCTGTAGTATTGAAGACAATTTGTTCCTCTCCCAAGTAGCATCTTCAACCTAATTAGAATGAGGAATATAATCCCAGCATTTACGGCCATCTGTTAACCTTAAAATGACCCTGTCAATAAGTAGAAAAGTCGATAAAAAGCCATTCTCATAAAAAGAAATGGGTAAATACCTATCTTTTCCACTGCCTATTCTACTGAACACCAATCCAGTCTGTGAAAATAGTCTGCTGAGGAAATGATACTTCCAGAATCTTTAGTTTCCTGGATTCCCCACAGCTGTCACTGGTTCCTTTCTCTGGCCTTCAAACATTGCAGGGTACATTGGTATCTTGGACGTCAGCAGGGGAAACCACTAAATGCACTAGTGCTCACCCAAAACTGAAAATGCAGGCTTAGTGAAATAGGACTTTTTTCTTATCCATCACCTCCCAAATCCATACCTAGTTTACTCAACAACATCCATATTTAGATTAGTCTAAACACTTCTGTTTAACCCCACACCTTCAGATCCCCAAGATTTGGATTGGTCATAACAACACTGGGTCAGATTGGAAGTATGCTAAAAGTATGTGTGTTGGATTGTAACAACAGTAAACCCATGGCTACCTTGCTGGTGCCTGTAGGTAAGTGCCATGTGTAACTACTAATACATTTGACTCTTTTAAAAGGCAAACACTTTTTCTGTACATGCTTTAACCACTTATCAATTTTCAATAGATCACAAAGAGCTGCCTAACAGAAATCCTATTTATAGTGAGTATAAAAGAGAAGTAACACATTAAGCATGGTAATGTAACAATGAATTACTGTTTAAATGCTTTGTCAACATCTGATATGTTCTAATATATTGTCTGAAGTATATGACTTATTAAAGTGCACCTGTCATGCATGCACAATGACGGCAGAAATTTTGTGTGTGGGACCAATATTTCAAGAAGAGCAAACACCGTACCTTTTCTCATTTGGTGTAATTACAAGAGTTTCTTCTATGATCCTTCATTTCTTTAAGTATCTTTCCTGGCCAGCCAGACAATTGAAGAGATGTGAAGTGATATGGAGGCTTGCCTGCCTTTCAAAAACTCTCTGTGAGTGTTAGCATTATTTATTGACTAGGTGCTATGATATTTATAGAGATCATTATATTTTTTGGCTCCATAGTTCCTCATTACACCAATAGGTGCTGCTGCAGGTGAAGCATAGAATTAAGGCTCCCTTTTCACGTTAAACCCAGGAACCACCTAGAAGCAGACAAAGAATTTTTTTGTTATTCTTCAATCCGCTTGTATTTAAATTCAAATACTATTTTTTATATTTGGCATATATCATCTGAATGTTATACTTATATTAAAATCACATCATCTAAAATGTAAAATCAGAATGAGACAGTAAGTGCCTTCTGTTTTTTGAGAGCTGCAGCAAGTGGCTATATAGAAAATTCCAACAAAAAACTTCATTACACTACACAGTCATTCTAACATGTTTTGGGTTCTGCAGCCTGAACAAGAAGATGAACAAACAAGATTAGAGGAACTGGATAGGACAAGGAGGACCATGTAATTGTGGTCATTCATAATCTCATGAGCCAGCTAGGGTAGGGCAGGTGACATATGAGGTTCATGCTGTACATAGAGGTGTTGCACAAGAGTGGCTGGACATACCTGCAAATATTTTGGTGGGTAAGAGTCCTGCTTTAAAAACAAATCTATACTTTGTCTATTGAGGGCAAGGCAACAGGTTTGTTTTATCTCTTTGGTCGCTTCATGGTAGAATATACTTAAAGTGATACTAAACACACACTGTTTATTTACATTGTCCCTTCTCTTTCTGTATATGGATGGTTGCACTGTAATTATTTTAATGAAAAAAAAAAAAAAATCTAAGAACTTTTTCCTAATCAATATTTAGCTGTCTCTGACCCAGCTCTTTCTCAGCCTGTCTGCAGGGAAATATAAGCAGGAGGAGCCTCTGGTCCTCTGCTGTTGGTCACATGTTCAAAATAAAAAAGAGTCTTTGGAATACAGAGTAAAATAAATAAATAAATAATATCAACAAACTGTTTTAAATTGACATATAAATATTAGTTATAAATAAAATTTATAATTTTTGTGGCAATAACATGGTGTGGGTGGATTTCTGCCAGGCCCAGACTGTGTCACACCCCTCCAGCTTGTCTCTTAGAATAAGAGGGAGGTGAAGCCTCCATCAATCAAGATGTAATATCCCACCCCTATTGTGTTTAGCTGGTTTTTGGGCATGGAGGAGGAGGGAGTGAGTGGACTGTCATTTACCACTGTGTACTTGCCCACATGTGTGACTCTATAGTCACATGAGCTGCTCAGATGAGATAGGGAGGAAATGCTCAGCATAGAAACTC